GAGTATTAAATCTAGACCAGTTATTTTAGAACATGCCCCAGATATATGTGAAGATCAGCTTCACTCTGGAAGGGCTTCAGGGAAGAGGAAACTCACCATTCTGGAAACTTTGGTCCTGGAATTCAGCAGCCCCAGAGAAGAGAATTGCCACGGACAAAACACTGTAGTGGTAAATTGTGTTATCTCACAGAAGCAGAACAGTGAGAAGGGACAGAAGAGTGACTTTATGCGGGGCTCAAGAACTAACTCTTACTCACCTCAAGGGCAGAAAGGCAATCAAGACCAAAAGCTTTCCCAGGGTGGGTCTTAGCAAAACATTCCTCCAAAGACAAATGTTAGGATTGACTCCAACTGCATTGGTAAGCAGAAAATTAGAGCAATAATCAAAGAACCTGAACAAGGTTCTCTCCTGCCTGTCACATGAAGCCTCTGACCAGGCACCAGGTCAACCAAAATCCTTACGTGTGTCTTCCTGGATGAGCACGAATTCTGGTTCCTTTCTAAATCAGGGTTGGGGTTATACAGTCTATAAATAAATGCCTACCTTTGCTTCTCTTTTTAGGGGCTCAGGAGTTTCCATTTGGAAAGGAAAAACAGATTTTCAGGATGGCAGAGAGAAGCACATTACCATTTCCTGGTACACTAACAACCATCCCTGACAGAGATGAACTTCCAAAACCTGTACTATAGCCTCTGGCTGAATCCTCAGACAAGCTGCAAAATAATTAGAAATTTTAAAAAGCCATTCCACTGAGCTGTCTAAAATAGGACAACAAGCAATTTCACACCACCAAACAAGTCAAGAAAGGAATACAAGCAAATTCAGCAACCAATGTAGAGGGAAGCCTAAATGCAGCATATACAAAACCCATACAAAGCCTTCCCTACAAAAATAAAAATGTTTGTCAAAGAAACCAAAATGTGGAGGCATCACAACTTTCCTCACTCTCAACTTTTTAAAAAAAATTAATTTTATTGGTACATTTAAGGTATACAATATGACATTCATCATTGTAAATTTGCACCTTTACATAATCCATCTTGGTTCTTATTTTTTCCCCATTCCCCTGCCCTCCTGCAACCCCTCTACCCCTCCCTATCTACAAAGACTTTGTTTCCACTCTTTCATTTTCTCATATTAATTCCATTCCATTCTTCCTTTTCCCCTACCCCTCTCAATTCCCCTTCCCCAACCAACTTTTAATACAGCTCAGGCAACCAACAAAGGCACAAGCAGTCAACAAACAATGGATGACAATTTTTGATTAAATGAATCACAATCCAGAATTCAGTCAAAATATTTAGGGGTGCCATGAAACAAAATCGAACTCTTGCCTCCTCCCAGTTATCACAGTGGCACCTCCAAAGTGATATAGGAGAAATACAACTCCCAACCTGACAGATATCAGACATGCTGTTTGTGTCCTCTGAAATCAAAGAATGAATTCTAAGGAACAAAGGAGGTTAAGAGTAAGAAAGGTTTATTGAGAGATAGCTCCTGAGAGACAACAGGGGTCAAGAGTAGGTTGTCACAGAGGCCCTTTGTCAGGGGTACTTTATACAGAAAAGTCACAATGTGGGTACAATGTGGGTCAAACTACAATCAACCTATAGCAGTACAAGTAGCCACTTAGCTAATGTTGATCCTATTGGGAAGCGGAGCAAATAGCAAGGGTGTATAGCTGATATCATTAACCTTGGCCTATCTATGACTTCTGAAACAGGAACGTTTTGGGAAGAGATGGGTCTAGGTGTTCTGGTCACCCATCTGTTGTCTAATGCATATCTGGGCTTGAGCTGGGTGGTGCTAATTGTAGTATGGTCTCCAATTCTGCTTATCCCTTAAGGAACTAAGGGATAAGGTCTTGAGACCATGCTTTCTTCAGATGAGCCTCCAGTCGCTACCCTTTTCACTGACTTTCTTGAAAGCCAGTCCCTCTTTGATTGTATATTAATTTCTGTCTACCTTAGTTTCCTATAATAGGTGGAAATAGAAGATTCTATTACTGTTTTTTTTTTTTTTTTTTTACATTTTTTTTTTTTTTTTTTTTTTTTTTAATTTTGAGACAGCGTCTCAGTATATAGTTCAGGCTGGCTTTGACCTATGGCAATCCTCCTGCCTCCGCCTCCACAGTGCTGGGATTACAGTGTCTGCCACTACACGTGGCTTTTATAATTACTTTTTTAAAAAAGTGCAGTGCATTGCTATTTGTACTTTTTTGGTACCAGGGATTGAACTCGGGTCCTCGTGCTTTCAAGGTAGGCAGTGGAATCACTGAGCTAAATCCCCGGCCCTGCTACCTATACCTTTAAGGAAAATTTTAAAAATTCTTAGATAAAAATTTCAAAAAGCTTTTTTCCTTTTATTTTTATTTTCTGGTACTGGGTATCTGTTATTATAAGGAGATAAGAAATATTAGTAGCCTGTGTTCTACTGGCCCTTCATGTTCTTGAAAACCATAAGCAAGTATGTGTCAATCTTACTGCCTGATCCAGGTTTAAAAGATTAGTACATTTTTTCCAATCTTTCTTCTTCTAATTTACCTTCACTTGATATAGTTGGGAGAACAAATGTTTCCCCAAGGTGTTCCAAAATCTGCCTGCCTGCAGTATGCATTTCCTCATTGCAAATGACAAAACTATACCTATCATGAGCTGAAGAGCAGATTGAAAGCCGAGGCAAAATTTGTACTCAGGGGTGGCTCTGTTTAAGGAATGAAGTGATTTTATGTGGTCTTTTTTTGACCTGTAAAATGAGGGCTTTTTACAAAAACCTTTTTGGCACCATGTAAAAAATGTAATATAGAAACCAATCTATGATAGTTTACTAAAAATACTTTTAGAGATAGTATATTTATACTAGTCATAATAGCCTTCACAGTAATGGTGCCAATCCTGATTTTTATTTATGAATTTCTTAAAGGCAGAACTATACAATATTTAAGTATTGAATATTCGTAAAGAAAATTTAAGAATACATAGAATATATATTCATATGATACACAGAAAATGAAAGTACTTTTGATGACAGAGAAAAAATTATTTTTCAAATTAAAATAAAAAATTTTTTATATGGTGTTTGAACTTTATTTGACTAGATTCGAATTTTAAACAACACAAAAGAGAAACAATGGGATGTGCTCGCTTTGGCAGCACATATGCTAAAAGAGAAACAATAGGGAGAGTCTTTCTCTCATTCCTGTGTCCCATCTACTCCGATCTCTAGAAGCAAAGTTAAAAGCTACGTTTAATGGTATTCTGAAATCCCATATTATAATACAATTCCATGTTTTAAAAAAATTATGTTGAAACAGCTGAAGCCCAGAAAAACTACTTAGTACTTTTAAGGAAAAGTAGTGAAAAGGACAAAATAACCCCACACTTATTAGATGTCAGATGTTTCAAGTTCATCGTCTCGCAACATTAAGGAATTAAGTAAAAGATGAAAGGAGGAAGTTAGGAGAATTTTACTGGAAATAAAGAGAAGATGAAAAACTCCTGGACTTATAGGAGGGGCTCCTTGTCAGGAGTAATTTATACAGCAAAATTACAGCACGGTATAATGTGGGCCAAACTACAATCAACCTGTAGGATTATAATTAGCTGATATTGGTACAATAGGGAAATGAATTGTGTAGCAAGGGTACCTGGAAAGAACAAAGGCTTTTTTTTTTTTTTTTTTTTTTTTGCAGGACAGGGTGGTACACGCCTGTAATCTCATACTTGGGAGGCTGAGGCAGGAGGAGCACCACAAGTTTGATGCCAGCCTGGGCTACATAGTGAGTTCAAGGCCAGGCTGTACTACCTATCAAGATACTGTCTCAAAAAACAAAACAAAACAAAACCCCTTTCCCCCCAAAACAACAGAACAACAGATTATAGTATAATCTCAAGTTGCTGTTTATCTCCAGGGAAGCATAAGGCCTGGCTCTCTTCAGATTTGCTTCCAACCACAACTTTGATATCTTTTTTTTTTTCTTCTGACTTCCTGGCAGCCCCAATCCCTCTCTGTGTTTATAATTTAGCTGAGTACAATAGTAGAGCCAGAACTTATGCCTCCTGACATTTTAGTTCAGGACCTTGCATTTTTGGTACTAAGCCACACTGACTTTTTAAACTGGCAAGTTGGCAATTGATTCGTCAGTGTGGTTAATCCAATTGGTGATTTAAAATTCAAAGTAGCATGATTTAAGATTCGGATAAATGGGAAGACGGTTGCTGATCAGAAGAGCGATAGGGGATAGGTTTTGGTTCATCAAAAAGAGATAAGGGTTTTGAAAGAGACTGAATCATAAGGTCTGACTTTTGCTGAGCCCTGGGGATGGCGGGTGTCAAACCAACCCAGAGCGCTGATGTCAGCATCATAACGAGTCGGGCCCTAGGGCATTGGCTTTCACATCTGGGGCAGCTGCATCTCTCCTGGAGACCAGGACTTTTCGAAGCAGCGTTCGCCTTGGTCTCACCCATCCGGATCTCAACCCTACAGAAGGGAGGGGACCTTGCTTTTGCCTCTGTAGTCCGCCTTACTCTGCGGTGTGAGTGTGCGGCAGAGAAGAGACGAGTGGGCCCCAGAATTAAGCCCACCTAGGCTCAGCGAGCGGGGTCTCGGGATATTTGGGTCCAACAACCGGACCCGATCAGGACCACTGGTCCTGGCCTTAGGTCCCTGATCCTAAGGTACCCACGTCTTCTGCTCCTGGGGCACAAAACCAGCGGCGGGGCCCCAACAGCCAGTCTTCGCTGCTAATCAGCCCTGTTGAGATTAGCTCACTGAGCTGCGCTCCAGTTCTCCAGAAGGCCGCCCCACCCTGCTCTTCCAGTCCCTTCCAGGGAAGACAGATCACGCGGCCAAGAACGAGACTCGTAAACTGGGCAAATATCCCAGCCCGGCTGGGGCAAGCAGCAAGACTCCGCGTGAGAGTGGGAAGGAGCCTTGACAGGCAAGGCTCGGCCCAATGGGTCGTCTCTGTCTTTTTGTGGGGGCCAATGAGGCGCGGGGGGTGGGACTTCCGCTTTGACTTCGTGTTGTCCTCCTACCTCAGACTAGGGCTGTGGGGGTCGGTGCGGATATTCAATCATGAAGTCAGGCTAGGGTCTTCTCCCGCTGCACCGAGGCCGGCGAGCCTGTGTCTTGGGGCCCAGCCCTCCAGGTAAGAGCCTGTCAGGCTCCGCGGCGGCTGGGCAGGGGTCGTCCCCGTGGGGCCGGGCCTGGGAACACACCCCCCTCGCTGGCTCTGGAGCTCGGAGTCGGCCCCACAGCTGAGATCTGTGGTGTTCCTCTCCAGGGTAGGGGGAGTGAATTAGGCTTTTTTGCCAAAGAAACAAAATGCCCTGCTCTCTGATGACCGAGTCTCCCCCGCACCCACATTCCGTCAGTCTGTATGTGACCGAAGTTGCCGAGTTATGTTTCGTTTCTCACATTCTCTTTTTGAGATGTGAGGGAGCCTGGGGAGATGGTTTGTAAGCTTTCTCTTGTCCAGCACTTGCTTCAGAGTCCTCGGTTCAAGTCACTTGACTTTAGTTGTGGGGTTTGTTTCGTCTCTGGGGGTAAAAAACAGCAGTCACTTCCTTTCTCACCCCACCCAATTTTTCTTCCTCTCAAAGCTCAGATTGCCGGCTGGGACGTGACCCTGCAGGGGCTCAGATACCAGCTCCGTGCCCTCCTAAAGTCAGCACCTTTGCCAGGAGGTGAACTGGGTTGACCTGCATTGATGAAAGAACTCTGTCCCAGGGAGGGAGTGGGCAGACGCCAAACGATGGTATTCTAGAAGCAATCACGCAACTTTGGGGGCAGCCACTGCATGCTCTCTGGCTGCTTTTGGTGAATTCCTCTATTTCGTCCTAATCTGGAGGTAGTAAATTCCTGATGTTATCGTTTCTTCCTCAATTTCAGCACCGTGGGCAGCTGCTGCGATCCTTTATTTTTGCCACAAACCTGTCTGGCTCTGCCAGTGATGCAGCAGAACTCATGCAAACTAATGCATTCCTTTCAACCGTGATGTGTGGTTCTCCAAGGAGAACTTGTGCACTTTTTGATACAATTTAAAGTGAGTGTGCCTCCAAGGAGTTACAGTAAAGAAGCAAATCAATTCAGGATTTAAGGAGGGACTTTCAAAGTTTAATCTGTTTTAAGGGCAGATTTTATTTTTTAATTTTAATTTTAATTTACTTATTTGTTTATTTTTGGTACTGGGGATCGAACTCAGGACCTTGTGTTTGCAAGGCAGGCACCGGCGCCACTGAGCTAAATCCCCCGCCTAAGGGCAATTTTGAATGGCTAGAGAGATAGCTCCTGGTTAAGTTAACAAAATTGGACTGTGCTAGTTATAAAGGAGTTAAGTGTGCTGTGCTGTGTAGGGATTCATAAATGGATTTTGGAATCAACTCAATGCATTGACGTAAACATTAAAAAAAAGAAAGAAACTATCAGGACGTCTCATGGAATAAAAATAAATTTCATTTCATGGAGCTTTTCAGGTTTTTAAAAAAATGTGTATCAAGAGGAAGATATAAAGTTTGTTATCATGTATTATGGCAAAGACAAATGTTTCAAAATAATAGATCTCAAATTTGAGAGTCAGGCTAGGGTCAGCCGTGCCATTTTACAAATTCTGTAATCTTATCTGTAAGGAAAGACTTGTGAGGATTAAACAAAATAAAATATGTGTGTTGCATAGATAAGCCTCAAAAGTTTTTTGTTTCTTTTTGGTTTCCAAGTGGTTGTGTAGAAGCAGTCATTTCTGTGTAAAGAATGGTAACTTCTGTGTCCTTGTCAGCTCGAATTTCTGTGTGAGGAATGACAACATAAATATAGGTAGTACTTATTTACTTCTGTCTTGTTTGAAGTCAGTTAGCTCAGTGTCTGCACGTGTAATGTAAATCATGTAGACAAACCTTGATTTGGAAAGTTTAATACTGAGGGATTTGGGTTAAATTCTCACTTGTTCTTGTTATTTATTTCAAGCATTTTGGAGATCCCTAAGTTGTTACTAGCATTCAGCTTCTTTCCCTTGATATTTTCTGCATTCCAAAGTAACATAGATTTATCACTTTCTCAAGACTCTTAATTTAGCAAAGTGAGGGTAGGGCTAGAAATATGATTAAAGGGGTAGGTTTTTTTCTCTGAGTTAAGCTGGGTAGCGAGGCACTTTTTGTTTTATGGTTCTTGTCATAGAGATGTATAAAATGAATTTGGTTTTGTCATATATTATGGTATGCTTATTTCACATTAGTGTGACCTAAAAATGGTTGGCATTTTAGGGGGGAGTTTCCATTACCTTGATAAACAAGTTAAAAGAACAAGGAAGCGTGTAGCCCCAATTTTGCACTTGATCTTAGCCAAAAGGCCAAGAAGCTATATTAGCCCTAATTTTGGAGCTACATAGAGTTCAGAAAGTGGAAACTGAGTTTTTCCTGACTTTCATCTCGTGGGTAAATCACCTAACTGCAGGCTTGTTGCAAGAATAGCCAAAATTAATAATTTTTAAAAAGCAGACTCATGCCTCTGCTCTTGGGTAAGGGAGAATGACAAGGGAGTTCTCACAGCCCCTATGTTATCCAGGGATTTGTATATTTCTGAGTTGGTTCATATTTGTATGTACATATCTATATGAAGCCAGGGGATAACTGGCGAAAAAGTACAATTTTGAACATTTTAAGATGTAGAAGGTACAATGAGTTTAAGTCAGTACTGTTTTGTATCTTTTGACATGTTATTACCACATGGTTTGCATATTGAGTTTCACATGACATATAAAGGGGAAGAAACTTGGTAAGCATTGTTAGTTTTCTCAAAAGGAAGGAAACAGAATTAGTAGACAAGTGAATTTCTTTTAATAAAGTATGATAATAAATCAAGTTTAAAAATTTATGTTTTGTAGGTATTGATTGGGTGCATAAAAAATAATAGTGTTAAGCTTTTGCGCAGCTTTTATACTGCATAAAATTGATTTGAGAACAATGGCAGCATAATTGGTATTGTCAAAATTTATACATCAGCACACAAATGACAACAGAACATCAGTAATAGCTAACATTGTCATGAACCAAATACATTTCTAAGTACTTTATATTATCTCATAATTCTCACAGTCGTTAATGTGGTAGATGGTAAGGCATCTCACATACATAGCTTGATGAGTTCACACGGGTATTTAGTGGAGTAGTTGGAATTCAAACCTAGGCCTTAACTATATAACTATATAAAGCCTATCCCTCTTGTGTCATATTTTACTTAAAAATACAGAGCACTATTAGGCTATGTTGTATTCTTTACTTGCTGGGTCACATTAATGACTTTGCTTGTTTGACTTTGGGTAAACACCTCCTCGGTGAACTATTTCCTCATAGTGTTTGGAGATTAGAATTATTTGTAAAGCTCTATACAGAATATGTTCAGTACATGATATACCTTAGCCTTTATCTTTTCATTGAAGATGTGGTCATTTGAAAGACTGTTAGTAAGTAGAAGATGGGAGAGGAAAGATAGTTCCACATAAGAAGAGTGCCCAAGCAAAAGTAGAGAAAGGTACAGAAAACACAGGTAAGAAAAGCAGAGTACATTTGCCAAGGTTGTATGTTTGAGGAGCACGCTGGTAGAGATATGGAGCTACTTAAATGCCAAAGTGTTTCATCTAAGATTTTAGTTGAGAAGAACTTCTTTTATGAACATTAGCCTAGGAACAAAGGTTGAGTGAACAAGTAGAAGCCCAGAGACAGGAGTTCTATGGGGTTTAGTTATAACAGTCGAGAAAAGATGTGATGATTGTAATGAGATGTACAGATTACATTGACAGGGACATTGGGAACTGACATGAGTACAGGCTGAAGACAAATTTTCTGGAGGATGGTGATGCTCTTACAGAAGTCTGGATACACGATGGACAGGTTTGGTGGTAGGGGATTTAGGAGAGGAGAGGATGAGGGAAAATTTAGTTTTGGAGTTGAAGTCAGATGTTTAGCAGGTTAAAATGAAAAGTGGAAGCTCTGGCGATTCTGTCAAAAAGCAGGAGACCATACGCTCACGCTGAGGAAATGGCCTAGTAGTCATACCCCTGTGACTCCTGAAATTTCTCAGAACTGAAAATCCTTTATTTGTAAGGATGCACCATTATTTTTGCCTGTAGTATATTTTGTCCTGGGGAAATAGGACACCCATATGAGGGAATAGAGGATGCGGGGGATGATAGTGGGGAGGGAAAATTGTGTAAACCTACCAGGCTCCCATTTATTGTTTCAAAAGAAATGGTAAATTGGAGGATAGAAATATTTACTCTTGGGAAGAAACGTGCTGGGATTCAAGCCTGGGACCTAGGCAAGTGCAGTTCTAATGAACTACATCCCCCACCTAGCTATGAACTTTTTTTTTTTTTTTTTTTTTTTTTTATCTCACTGTGTAGTTGAGACTGAACTGGAATTCACTGTGCAGTCCAGGCTGGTCTCGAACTCATAGCGATCCTCCCACCTCAGCCTCCTGAGTGCTGGGATTACAGGCGTGAGCCACCACGCCTGGCCCTAGCTATGAATTTTAATCCCCAGTTACTGTGAACTTTGAAAGGTGCTCTGATTTTTCTGTACTGCCAGGCATTTGTAAACATATATTAGATGTTGAACTCTTGTAATATGTCCAGATTTATTTTTTTAATCTGTTTGTTACCCTGAATTGATTAATAGCAAGACCTTTAAAATCAGAGTGCGTGAGATTGTATGGGGGTAACATTGGGCGGGTACATACCAGGAAAAACTGTATTCCCGTTATAGATAAGACTGTGGGATAAAAGGAGAGGGTACATGGCATGGTGGGAAGAGTAGAGATTCTTTTGTGAAATGATAATGATAATACCAGTTTTGAGAATTGTTTCGAAAGTTATAATTAATACGTGAAAAAAATGCCAGGAATGGGATAGCTAGTAGTTGAAATGTTTTTGTTATCATCATTATCTTAACAAATGCGTACCAACACAGGATCCTAGGACGTAAGAAAGAAAGAAAAACAGCTGGACACCGTTGATACTTGAAAAGGGACTCAGGACTAAGGAGAAAGGCCTGTAGGTTTCTTTTCTTGGAAGATATTCTAGGGTTTTATGCAATTGTATAGGACCTGATATTAAATTAAGCAGCAAAATCTATTTACTTTTGAGTTATTTTTAGTTCTTTATCACTTTAGGCCTGAATAACTGGCCAGTCAAACAAAATGCTGTATTTAACATAAGCTGAACAAGAAAACGTTTATGTATTCTGTAGTACCATAATTGGAAACATTACTTGGATCGTGCTACTTAATGGGTAGCATTAATTCACCCCCTAAATATTTATTAAGTACCTTACCTGTTGGGGCACTGTTTTAGGCACTTATGGTATATCAGTGAACTGAAGAGACACTGGAGTTTATCATCTAGAGGAAGAAATAAGGCATGCTTTCATTGTAGAAAGTTATTAGGTGTTCTGTTATTTAGAAAGTCATACTAAGCAATTAATAGGAGCAGATACCAGATTGTAACTAATTGCACGGAGCACTTGGAAGGCAGGAACTGTTTTCCTTATTCATATTCATCTCCCCCTTTCCCCCTTACTCTCATTGGAATGACTTATTTTTGTATACTGCTATGCACTATACATATGTTGAATGTAGGGCCAGGGATTTAGCTCAGTGGTTCTGCTGCCTACCTCACAAGTGCAAGGTCCTAAATTCAATCCCTGGTACCAAAAAAAAAAAAAAAAATAGGAATCATATGTTGAATGTTATATTGTTCTGATGGCTTCAGATTTATTTATATTATTTCCTCTGTATCACCCCAGATTGATTAATAGAAAAACCTTCAAAATCATTTGCTCAGCTACTATAGATACATAT